AAGACATTTAGCCTATGATTGTAAGACCTATGACAAAATTTATACAAAAGTTGACCTAAAATTAAAATGCCAACAAGAACTGTTGTATTTAAAAATTTGGCCGATTTCGCGTTCAATTGAGGAATTAAGTGAACAGTTTGTAAGGTTCATTTACCTGCATTCATAAAATGAAATTATATGCGACTCGTCAGATGTAAGCTAAAAAAATTTTGCTTTCCAGAACGTAAGTTGCATACTGTCCGGCGAGGGTCCCAAGCCTCTCATCCACTCATTCATTTTTTATCCTGGGTAGTCGAACTTGGCGTCCATGCTCAATTTCTTTGAGCATAACTTCGGTATCCATCTCGTTTGCAAACCTTTAATTTTCACTGCCACATCCAACCTCCAAAAACAATAAAGGGCGGGAGAATTAAAAGTATTAAATTAAGCAAAATATTTTTATGTTTCTTGCATTGTATGCATTTTTAACAGTAGGCATTTTAATTATAGGTCAACTTTTATATGTATTTTGTTGACGGTCTAATAATCCTCAGCAAAATGTCTCGTACGTAAAATACATCATGAGAATGAACGCATTCCGATGAAAGAGAGATTTGTCATTGCAGTTCCATTTAACAGAGCGCATCTTTCTCGATTAATTGCAGCAAAATTAGCGGAGTAGATCGTTTTATGGTGATTTGATCATAGATTTTACTGACAAATCTTGCAACTTTCATTTTTTGGTAAATGCACCCCTCCCCTCCCCCAAACCTTAGCTCAGTACTAAATACTCATTTTCTTAATGGTGAAAAAAAAAAAAAATTATTTTATTGGTGTACACCCTTTAATTTACTGTTAGAATTCTCAATTGAAGCAAGAAAGTTTTGCATGGTCACAGGTTTGATACTATCACTGGCATCTTCACGTATTATTCTGGTGGTGCCATGACCTCCCCTATAACTTATCTGCCTATCTCTCTTCTGTCAGTTTTGTATTATTAGAACAAGGGTAGGGTATGGGTCAGGATTGTTAAACTATCTCTGATAGGAGACGAGACCACCAAGTGCGTTTTGTCAAAATTATTTAAATGTGGTGAGGAAGCAATTCTAAAGCAAGTTTGTAAGTGGTGCTTGTCACAGAATTAGGTTTTATTGGCTGTGGGTGAATTATGCCTCATGGTTGACCCTTATACAGGGTGTTAGAAAAGTCCCCTCCCCTCCCTCTAACTTTTTACCCGATTGAGGTAGAGACTTGAAACTTGGAGGACGTTCCTCAGTCAAAGGGAGCTACTTTTTAACCCTCATAACATTTTCTGGGGGTCCTTCTTGGAGGAAGGGGCGGACCCCATTTTTTTTATTTTAAAATGAGAAGATCCCTGTTGTGATACCTCGTTCGAAAGAGCATAAAAAGAGAAAACTTTCACGCAAACCCGAAGTCAATATCTCAAACCATTTTCAAAATGGCCGCCGGTTTAAGTTCCAAGGGACCAAAAATTGGTACCTAGGTTTTTTGTCGATGGATTTGCCTGAAACCTGGTATCTAGAGGTGTTTCTGTACGAGACTGAATGAATAAATGAATTTATTCTCGTTTTAGTGCACAATAGGTAACAGCAGACAAATAGGTAATTGATAAAAAATAAAAAAAAAAAAAAAAAAAAAAAAAAAAAAAAAAAATTTTCGTCCTAAGTGTAAGATATATAAAAAAAAAAAAAAAAAAAAAAAAAAAAAAAAAAAAAACGAAATAAAACACCCACTAATGACACTTGGCCATTGTATCGGGTGGAGCCTCTTTGTTTGATTTTATTTTGTTTCATTATTCCCCCTTTTTTGTCCCTTTTTTCCCCTTCTTTTTATTATTTTTTTACCCACTTCCCCCTTGCTTATCACTTATGGAAAATATGAAATTGCCGATTTAACAATTTTGTAGTCAAACCATAACAAGTGTCCGACAAGTATCAAAGTAGACTTCACAATAAAAAAAAAAAAAATGCCAAACTATCCACTCTCATGGTAAAATTAGCTTTCCACTACTACGGAACGGACATTAGAAACAAGGCGGACACAAGATTTAACAATTTAATTTTTAAATCAGCAATTCAACTTCTTCCGTACTTCCCTACTGTTCATTTACTAGAAATTGTTCATTAAATATATATGCGCTTTCAAATGGCGGGCTATTTATGCGAAAGGCGCCGCATCAATAATCCGGTCATCAATAATCAATTACCGGCATTTCCGACCATTTTGAACCTCAACCAGCCACCCTTTTGAAAATTTTAGTTTTTTAAAAATCTATCAGCAAATTCGTTTTTCTTGTGATAATATATCCCTCGATACCAAGTTTTAGACAAATAAATCGACCAAAAAAACCAGGTGACAATTTAAATTTAAATTACTCGTGGGTGCACCCACGAGTATTTTAAAAGTGTTATATAGTAAATTTTAGTAAATTTTAACAATATAAGATGTGACTGTTAGTGTTTACCAAATCGAAGTCGAAGTGACCTGATGATGATGATTAACATCGAAATAGCTATCGTCTGAAAACCGGATAAAAAGTGATCGGGAGAAAGGTAATATCATCAACAGGTGACAATTTTCGGCCATTTTAACCTTAACTGGCCGCCATTCTGAAACGGTTCGAGATATTGACCTCGGGTTTGCGTAGATTGTTTTCTTTTTTTATGCTCTTTCGGACAAGGATCATAAGAGGGGTCTTCCTATTTGAAAATAAAAAGTTGTAGTCCATTACCCTCCCAAAGAGGGCCCCCTAAAAGTTTTAGAGAGATCAAAAAGTACCTCCCTTTGACCTAGGGACGTCCTCCAAGTTTCAAATCTCAAACTCAATCAGGTAAAAAGTTAGAGGGAGTTTACTAGCCAAACTACTAGTAATTACTAGACTTTACTAGCACCCTGTAGATCAGCAATATAGGATATGATTTATTATAACACCAAGTTTCTGGGTCCAAATCCAATAGAAATTTGGTTCTTAAAAAAGCATGATGAATGTTTATGCCGGTTACGCTTAGTGACGTTTTTCTTCCTCGATTTCCACACGCCTAGATGATTTAAATTTGTGATGGAAAAAATGCATTCATTGTACCTACTCCATATACATCATTTATGAGACCAGTAGGAAAAAAACCGTAGTGTGGACTAACTGTTAAATGTTGACATCAACCATGGTACTTCTCAAAAAATAATATCTCACAGTTGAAGGAACCAGAAAATTTGCATTTTGATGGATTTTGTAATTTCTTCTTGACTGTTAAAGAGGAATAATTCTGTGACTCGCGTGTACGACTCATTGCTTCCAATAAAGCAAGTCATCAAAAATCAATGGCATCAAGACTATAGATTGGTGGTAGCCCAGAGAAATTGTACTTATGCTGCAATCACAGGCTGAATGTGGCAGTCAACAGACAGCGCTAAACAGCTGAAATTTCAGTAATTCGAGTTTTTTTCAGCCAAATGTGTATCGTATATACTTGAATAGCTCAGATAAATCCGACATCATCGGATGGTCACTGAGAATCGTCACTGAATTTTGCGTGTTTCACATTCAAGCCAAATCCAGCTCCCACATTCAGCGTGTGATTGCGGCATTAGCCTGAAGTGGTTGTTCATCAGGCAGACTGAGATGGGGCCATTCTATTTCCAACTTAAGGAAATGGAAATTTTGTGGGTTCTTGTAGGAGTTATTGTAATGAAGAATTCAAAAGTGAAATTTTTATTGTAAACTCACTTGAAGGATGCCTTACCTCATTATGTGAACACAGATTTTCAAATAGTTCCTTCTGAATTTGATAAAAGCCTGTGAAATAGTTCAGTCTCAAAAGAAACCATGGAGATCTTTGATGTACCTCTGGTGAGGAACAAAAATTTGTGGGCGTGGCACAGGATCAGCCAGTCTATAGCTTTCATGTTGTTGTCAAAAATCGATGCAATTTCAAGACTGACGATGGCACGACGAGAGATTCCAAAATTTTCTTGCCTGAGAATTCTCTATCACCTATTAAGATTATTTATTCTAGGGTTATTTCCCTCTGGGTGTCCTCCCTCCCTCCCCCCCACTCTGGAAAGATGTCTTCAATTTGTATTTCCTTTCAACCTAAATTTACTTTAAAAAAAGAAACTAAAATCTATTTCCTGAATTTCTGAAAATGGTAAAACTAAGGAGGATTTTTTTTTTATTTTCTTTCATTTTCTCTTTTTACCCATGGGTTTCAAAATGAAATTGAATTGATGAAGAGATTCTTGAATAAAGGGATGAGATTTTTATCTTTGAATCAACTGTCCCATAACCAGTCTAACAAAAACTTTAAATTCTCTTAACTTATATAGTCCCATCAGTCGCTCTGCTTTTAAATTGAAGGGAAGCGTGGATGTCTTACTGATATTCCTGTCAAAGATACTTTTTTCTCATAGAAATCACTTCATCGGAATCAGCAAACCAATTATAAAGATGTTTTCTCAATTAGAAAATAAAGTGAGTCTGAACTGAAATAGAACAGAATCATTGGTTGATTGAATCCTGCAAGACCTTTACTATGTCTGCAATGTGAAATCCTGAAAAGGTCACTGCTAGGTCCACTTAACCTCAATAACAGATTTAGAATACCATAGGATTATGATGCGTTGAATTAAATCAATCAGTGATTCCAATCTGTTTCAGCTTGGTCTCATCATTTCGCAGGACGAAATCAAAATTTCAATTATTGGCCATTCCAGGTGCCTCTTGGAGTTTCTCCTTTAATTATTAGCATACTTAAGCAAAACAGAGCCTACAACCCCCCCCCCCCCNCCTAATTGTGTGGAACAACCTGCATGATGGAAGTAAATGAGGACTTTTAAGCGAATTTACTTTGATTGCGCAAAAACCATGCTCTCTTATAATGGGTTTCATTTACATCAATGATCAATAAGGGAAATGTTAGGTGAATTGTTGAATTTTCTTTGCCTGAAGTTTCTTTGCTTTTTTACTGTAGGTCTAACTTAAAAATGTATTTTTATTATTTAAGGCGCAGCAGCTAATCTAAGAAAGGAAGTTATAAGGAATAAAATCCGCGCAATTGGAAAAATGGCCCGAGTATTCTCTGTATTAAGGTAAGCATAATTCAAGTAAATTCAATCTAATATGGCCAACTCTTGCCAGGTGAAAAAGCATTGGGACTGGGGTTTTTTGCTCATTTTGTGACTCTCTCGGTATAATCAAGACAGCGGTTTGACGCACGAGTCATTTCGATTGCTTGTAATTAGCCCAATGTGCGCCCAAAACTTATGTCTGGGACCGAGATCGCATTCTGGAGTGGAAAAACTCATCCAATTGAGCACGAATCTCTCAAGAGAGTTGTGTCATTTGGTGCAACCCTCGTAATAACCAATCAGGAAGGCAACTACAGATGTGTTTCTGGTCTAGTTGGACCCATCATCAGTGTAGCGTAGCCTCCTGGCTTTTCTGCTACCAAACTCGGAGAGGTCGTGAAGACCAGACCAAGACTTGGACAGGCGGCTGTGAGGGCAAGCTAACTTACTGCCATCTAGTGAGCAAACTATTCGACCAGCTTGGCTAAGTCCTGCCAGGCACTGTTAGTAGAAACACAATTGCGGATTTTCGCACGAGTCATTTTGAGTGTTGGCAAAGAGGTGTGTAAAAAAACGGCCAAAAATGTCTCAAGGCATTCTCGAATTTTGAATTTTTGGGGTGATACAGTATTTTCCGAGACGCCCAAAACCAGTCGCCGTTTTGCTTAGAAGCGCCGGGTTTCGGCGTTGCCATTTTTTAAAGTGGAAACCTTTAAAAATTCATATCTCCTCTGCATCTCAACCTATTTCAATGAACTTTTTTTTAAAGTGTTCCTCTTGAATAGAGCTTTCTAATGGTGTATAGTGTTCTGCATTTACTTGGCATCAGGGGTTCTTGCAGGGTTTTAGCAGTTTTTGATGGACACAAAAATGTTTTTATTTTACCACGATCGCGGAATCGACAGAATCTGAACAATAACCAGTTTAAATGAGAGCTCAGGCTCTCACCTTTCTAACGAGCACAAGATCATCCCGGGGAAACGCTTAGTTTCCGAGATATGACCGCTCAAAGTTGGTCACATGCGCTTTTGCGCAATGTGAATACGTCTTATCACTGAGTCATTCGCGAACTAGGGGTCCCTTACGTTCAATTTACGTTGAGATAATTACACAGAGCAGTAAGGTGTACAACAAGAGTCGTTTTTTCACCTTCGGCTGCCGATGTGCGACGTTGCCATTTTTTGAAGTGAAAACTCTTAAAAATGCATAACTCCGCTGCATTTCAACCAATTTCAATGAACTTTTCTTTAAAATGTCCCTCTTACATAGAGCTTTCTAATGGTGTTTAGTGTTCTGGATTTTATTTACCTTAGGGAGGCACTTAGGTCGTTTATATGGTTCTTCGCAGAGATTTTTCATACAAAAAATAGTGTTTCTTTTTTTTCCCGGGGGTTGTGGGAGGGTTTGAAATGGCAGAATTCAAAACAAAGAACTTTTAAAAAAGGGGTTCTTTTAATCACTATTCTTACTTGTACAAATATTGGAAGCGCCGCTCTGATTGTACAAGAGAAGGTGGTGTTGCTATTTTACCAAGATTTTTACATTATACTTTAAGCGATGGTGATCCTCCGATCAAGTTTGAATGTTAAAAAAAATCGAGGTAAATACAGACCCCCTTCCGAAAAAAAAAAAAAAAAAAAAAAAAAAAAAAAAAAGCAACACCATTTTTTGTATGAAAAATCTCTGCAAAGAACCGTATAAACGACCTAAGTGCCTCCCTAAGGTAAATAAAATCCAGAAAACTAAATACCATTAGAAAGCTCTATGTAAGAGGGACATTTTAAAAAAAAGTTCATTGAAATCGGTTGAAATGCAGCGGAGTTATGCATTTTTAAGAGTTTTCACTTCAAAAAATGGCAACGTCGCACATCGGCAGCCGAAGGTAAAAAAACGACTCTTGCTGTACACCTTACTGCTCTGTGTAATTATCTCAACGTAAATTGAACGTAAGGGACCCCTAGTTCGCGAATGACTCAGTGATAAGACGTATTCATATTGCGCAAAAGCGCATGTGACCAACTTTGAGCGGTCATATCTCGGAAACTAAGCGTTTCCCCGGGATGATCTTGTGCTCGTTAGAAAGGTGAGAGCCTGAGCTCTCATTTAAACTGGTTATTGTTCAGATTCTGTCGATTCCGCGATCGTGGTAAAATAAAAACATTTTTGTGTCCATCAAAAACTGCTAAAACCCCGAAAGTGCCCCTGAAAGCCAAGTAAATGCAGAAAACTATACACCATTAGAAAGCTCTATTTAAGAGGAACATTTTCACCCCCAAGTGTTCAAAATTCGAGAATGCCTTGAGGCATTTTTGGCCGTTTTTTCACAGACCTCTTTGCCATTATGTGCCCTAAAATCCATTCTAGGACTCTCTCGGTGCTTTTAATCAAGCGAAATCGTGCGTTTTCAATGTTGTAATTTCGAATAGTGCACGGTAACATTGGCATAACCACCATGAAAGGACCCTCATAGCTCATTTCCAATTAATAAAAAATAAATTTTATTTATTGTCTCTGCTGGCATGGGCAAACTCAGCTCTTTACTGCGTACAGGAAACTCTCTTGGTCGCAAGTTACTAGAGCGAAAACGTGGGAAAGAACAACTATTTTGCTAGACTTTTGCTCATTGCAATCAAAATTGTAACTGCAGCCACATGGTGTAAGGGTTTGGGAACCGCAACAAGACTTCACACCAAAAACTCCCAAAAAATCATAATCACCTAGTTCTGGAATGCTGTCTAAACCTAGCCGTCTTGTGGGCTGATAACTGAAATTTTATGTTTATTGGGTGGACATAGGTTAAACGGTGGAGCATGATTGGTCGGCTTTGTTTTATCGCTGCCTTGTCGTGTCTTTGTCAAGTGGAATTCTTAACAAGCTAAAGGCACCTCTTTAGTGTACAACCGTATGTTGTCCATTCCATCTGATGAAGGCACGACGAAGCAGTGATAAGACATAACCGACCAATCACACTGTTAACCTATGTCCGCCTGACAAACACAAAATTTTAATAATCAGCCTGCAGGCTCGTTGGGGAAGGTGAACCATAGACACTGGAGAAAGGCATAATTGCGGGAAATTGTGGCCCGGTCGCCACCTGCTAACTCCTAAACATTTAATTACATCATAGAAGGTAAACAAATAAGAAAACCCCTAAAAGGGGTGAAAACTGGAAAGCATCTGGATCGTTGAAACAAAAGTGACATGCGACATAAAACTCTCTGGATGAATCACTCTCTCTTTTCCAGCTGGAAATAGGGGAGTGGTGACTCGCTGTTACAATGAGGGGTTTAAAATCTTTGGAAGAGATGAAGCATTGATAGAATGTAGCAAGTCTTCAAACCATCTGCCAGAAGCAGATCTACGTTCGTTTTGCGTGTAATTTCATGTTATGTTTTCTATTTTAGCTCCCTGGTTCCCAACAAATACTTAATTGTTGCCCTCCACTACTCACCACCTAAACTTTTTTTGTCATATCACTAAATTGACCTTGAATTTTTCAGAGAGGAAAGTGAAAGTGTTCTTCAACTGAAAGGTCTCACTCCGACAGGATCCTTGCCTCTTGGAGCACTATCAGGAGGAAAAACATCGCTCAAAAATGGTAAGAAAATACTCTTGTTATATTAAATGATTTTTTTTAAGTATTAAATTCATGTATTTTAGTGTGTTTATTTTATTATGACCTGGCTTTTCATTTTCTTTTTTCTTTTTTTTTTTTTTTTAAATATTTTATCAAATATGTTCTCCATTTGTGGAAGGTATCTCAGAAAATTTCAAGCCAATTTTCAGGTGAAAATCCTATTCTCAAACATTTAGATACATCTGTCAAACTGCTCATCCAGTTGCACCGTAATAACTCAAAACTGAAGGGAAGGAACAGAAAATTCGAGTTAGCCAGATTACAGATGAAATATTTGAGTAACTTAGACTGATTTAGGGTAAGAGTGCATCTCTTGATTTCATTGCCTTCAAAATAAACACTTATGGGGACACATTTAGGGAGTTACTCATGAGCATTTTTCCTCGTCTATCACTCAACAAATCGTGCTAATTCCGAGAATGTGGTTTTCTTTCTTAGAAGCTATGTCCTCACTCCTCTAATTTTAAATGGACAACCTATCCCAGAATCTATGACAGCTCATTATCTCGGCTCTATCATGGACTCTAAACTAAAGTACAGGGAACATTTCATGAAGAAAAAGAAATAATTGAATTACAACTACAAAAAATGTATTTGTAACTAGGTAAAAAATTAAAATTAAGTTTAGGTAAAATTTTATCATACAATGCCATGATGAGGCCGATTTGGATGACGCCTGTCAGTTGTAGGCTTGCGCGGCAAACTCGAACATATGAGAGATGAAAACGGTCGAAAATCAAGTACCCAGACCAATTGCTGGAGCCAAATGGCATATCAGGAAGCTATTAGATCGGAACTTGGTACAGAAAGTCTGGACGTCTTTGCCTCAGATATGAGGAAAGTTTGGAATCTTACACCAATCCTGAGGCAATTAAGCTCCTGGATTGGTTGGAGGAGACCAGACATCTCAAGGGCAGAATGCCTCACAAGCCTTCCTCCCCTGACTTTCGAAATGTCTGATATCATCACTTTTTTCTAAGGGCTCTGCTCCCCTCTGCCCAAGTCAGTAAGAGAATGTCTCCCATATAAAATCATGGCGGACTGTTAACTCAGCTTAGTCACACTTTGGAGGTTTTTAGCTCTTTTTGCCACACTTTCGCTCCTCTCTTGTAATACAATTAGTCTACTACTACTTGTCTACCAATCAATCCCAACTCGCTTACCAATTAAGTCAACTTTTCTTAATTTCCTGACTTCTTAAAACTTTTGTATTGTACCTAAATGTAAACAAAATTCCTCTGTAAATGTGGGGAAAAAAAAAAAAAAAATTCACTCAACAACACAAACTGATTTCTTGTGGCAGCTGCAAGTTTGATCTTTATCTTAAAATAATGGAGGATCCTATGAGTTATAGCACCAACTATTTTCGAATTAATGAGGTGTAAAAGATCCCAAAATTTCTGCGAGTCAACGGAACAATTTTTGGATTATTGAGGTTTATTGTCTTCAGCAGAAGGGAGTGGCTAGATTCTTTGAGTTATTAAGGATTTCCAATTATCGAGGTTCGAGCCATGGAAGTTTGATGGTATACTCCAATTTTTAGCTTTTCCCAATCTTCTTCTAGTCTTGCTCCGTATGTTTCCAACAAAGTTAGATTCCCTGTGTCTGTTTCTCAAATCTGTCACAGGCTGTGGAGGAATCCTTTTTGAACAATTTCAAAAAGTACAATGACAGTCTCAAAATTTCTCCTAAGATTTTACTGAAGGGTAGCCCTTTTGACTGGGGGTTTTCTTCTTTCACAAAGAATTATCATCAGCTATAAAAATTTTTAAATCTAGTTGTGTTGGAATGGATAAAAACTTCAAGAGAATCCTTAATTAATTAAAGTGTGATAAAATCAAGTTTTTATCTTCAAACGTTTTGGAAATAACCTAAAGTTCATTGAGAATTCAGACTTCAGCATGCAAGTTAGCAGTTACCTTCACAACGTACGATTTTCTTTTCCCCCACAGGGAGATAATCATTAGTAAGGCAATAACTTCATGTTCTCCCCCGATCGATTTTCATTGATGATGATATGAATTTAAAAAAATTTAATGTAAAATCGAAAATTTTATCAGGTACTCACATCAAGAGCAATAAGACAAAGTGCAACATGTCTCAGAAGATTCTTTTAACTTATGTCTCCATATTCACTTTCACCAAAAATGTTACCAACGCTAGACATGTTTTTTTAAGAATCCTGAGCAGAATCATTAAATGGATGCAAAAGAAGCATCTAAAATGCGTTTGGTTCTGGTAAAATGTCTAATACTATCTAGAAGTGAGCCAAAGGAAGAGCCTATATTAGTCAAAATGTGCCAGTTTCTCTGAGCAGCACTATTTGAACCAGAAGTAGGTTACCTGAGACCATTGCTACCTGCCTATGGAGGTAAGCGGATTGGAGAAACCAAGTTAGTCATGTTTCGTAGGTTCTTCTGAAATCCTCTTCAACCGAGCATTAAATAATATTCTCTCCAGTAGATTTACATTATACTTACACTTGTCCATCTGAAATGTTTTGATAAATTTTAACTTTTACATAATTATTATTATTATAATATTGACTTGTTGAACATTTCAGCATTGCAAGGCTTCTCACCAACGCATAAAATCACAACATTCGCAGAAGCTAAAGGTTTAGACGCAATAAATGAAAGAATGCCACCACGGAAAGACGCCCCACCCACACCATCACCGGGCGCATCAGAAGACAAACCCCCCCCTTCTCTTGTTAGAAGCGAGCCTCAACCCACTGTTACAAATGCACATTCATGAGCTCCAAACTATCCTGTAAGTTTTTTGTCATATCTTGATCTTGTTCACAAAAGATTTCAACAATAGATCCAACGGATTTAAAATTACCAAAAGTTGATCGAAGATTGATGAATCCATGTAACAAACATCATGTTTTTTCATCAACAAAGCCTTTGTTGTTTTTTAGTTTTAACTAATCTCGTTTTCTAGTCTTGTTCATTTGTTAATCTTCATGTATCAACTTCCTTCTAGTTTTTTCTTATTTTTTCTCCTTCCTTTCCTTCTGAATATGTTTTTATACTTTTCTCGATAATTTTTAAACCAGTTTTCCTTGATTTCACATGCCTCCGCTATTCAATTACTCAATATTTTAATGTGTTAAGTAAGATTGTGTCAAGCAATCATAATACCTGTCATTCTCAGGCATTGCTTCTAAAAGGAATCAGAAGTATCAGTCATCCGTCTAAAGCAAGCCTTTTCCGTACAAATCATGTTGTTCTATATTCCTAAATTTTTAATTATCAGTGAGAGCTTCATTCATAGCGTTTGGTTCCATATGAATCAAACCTCATTCCTTCCCAACTTTTTGTTCTAAAGAGAACTGTCCAAGAAATCGAGTGAGACTAATTAAAGGCTTCAATAGAGAAGAGACGTTTCTTGCTCTCAGTGTAATTCTTCGTTTGCTATTCTTAAAAAGAAATCTCGCTGATTATCATAAATATTCATAGCACAGGAGCATATCTATACGTCCTTTATTTTCACAATATTTATAAAACCTACTAAATAGTGCCACCAAAAAGTAAATCAGTGTGTTAAATTACTTTAAATTATCATTTTGATAAGAAAAGTATTTCAAAAGTATATTTATTTTGTTCAATTGTTTTTATGCTTACTCGATTATTTTAACATTTCATTCAGTAACCTATCATGATCTTTATGTCAGTATAAAAAATTTGATGAACCTGTTTCACCTCTCTCAGCTGTGAATTGTCCATAGTGTGGATTAAAATCATTTTTATTTTTGTCATGCCTCAGATGATGCCTTGGAGTCCAGAAACGCCTTAGGTGTTGTAAATAAAACAATTATTCAGCATAATACATACATAAGGAAATTTTTATTTCTTTTTTATTTTCTTTAATATGACTGCTTTTTCATCCATGTTGACTTAAGTATGTTTTGCTTTTCCTCTACCCATTTGTCTCTCTAGTTCTATTCTATTTGAGAAAATCAATCAAATACCTTCAAGTTTAGAAACCTTCTTGTTCATATAGAGTTTATTATTAATCGTCAGCAGACGATGCAGGCTAAAATTTAGAAGATTTAAATGGTGCTCCAAGAGTTTCTTCTATCCTTCTCATAAAATTCTCTCCTATTTACTGCTACATGCAAATTCTTTTCCCGTTTCAAAAGAGTCCAGAATTTTCATGATTTTTTTACATTGAATTTTATTCGTTTACAATCAGAGGCTGTGTAATTAATTTTTCTTGAACTCAAGTCTCTGAAATTACTTACAAATAAACATTTCTGTAAACGGCGGAAGTGGAACAGGTAGTGTGCTGGATCAGTTTCACACAGTGAACTTAGTTGGTCTCTGGCCAATGGAAAAAGTCTTTGAGCGTGAGCAATGAATCTTTGAGCTGCTCTAAAATTCATCAATATACAGCCAGTTACAAATCTCATCTCTTTATTTTTCTACCACATTTTTCCTGCATGCTTGGAGGTTTGACAAGTGTTAAGATTGCTAGAAAAGTCTGTTAGCAATATGTAATTAATCTTCTTTGAATTAACTGTTGTTTCATGAGGAGAAAAATATTTCTTGTTATAGAGTTATGTTTGTTGACTACATTTGATTTATTACTTTAGTATGATTGATCACCTCATTAGCAAATTACCTGTTTGTCATTGTTTTTTCTTTGTTTATCCTCCCTTCTCCCCATCACTTTTTTCTCTCTTCTTCTCTCATTAGTGAATCAGTTCTGTCATCTAGATCACCAGTGGTATCAATCTAAACATCAGAATTTAAGAATATTGCATCTGAAATTCCTGACTGTGTACGAGTGTTGACTATGTTTGTCCTTATGATAAGACAGATTGGCTCTCACATATCTTTTTACCGGTTAGAGGTCAGTAGGTCTACGGGAATGTGGTCTATTGTTTGTAGGTCTACTGCAAAAAGTCTACTGACTTTGCGTCTACAGAAATGAGTCTACGAGTTGTAAGTCTACGTAGAATGAAGTTGAAACACAGAATTAATACACGCCGATTCAGTCTACGGAAATTAGTCCACACAGTGTACGCCTGCAGGAAAACATCGTCTATAAAAAAAGGCGTCTCTGGAATTTCCTATTCAGGAAGACTAAAAGTAATACTTATTTTGGTATGCTTGAAGATGTGAGGAAAGAGGATCGTCGTTAGGGTACCTACTTGCGTCAGCTACTACGTCGCTACTACCCAGCTACGTCAGCTAGGTCTACGTCAGCTACTAGCTGCTTGCATCGTCAGAAGAGTTATCATCACCGGCGGCAGCGTGCCGCTTGAGATGGTATCCGATGCTGCGTAAGTACAAGAGGATATCATCCCTGTCTTTATATTCTCTGTATCTGCTGACAATTGATTTGACCTGATTGTGGTTTATTACGTAGGAGCGAGGTATTGCGTGCTTGACACGCCTGTGTCCAGCCAAAATTTGGGTAATTTGGTTGCTAGTGTCTTGTTGGTCTTTTCGCACAGCTTCAAGGAATTTCCACATGGAGGCATGGTGGGAAACGAGCATGCGTTGGAATCGAGAATGCCACCCCTCTGCCTCGTTAGTCGTCCTCTGGAGGTCATTCAGCACTGATTCGTGAGCACACCATAAATTCGAAGGGAATAAGGGGGGTGTCGCACGCCGTCGCCCTCGTGCTCGTCGGCCCCTTACATACGTAGCTTCCACGTACTCTGCGATGGGAAGAACGCGTGGGTCCACGTGGTCAATAAGTAAATCGAAAACCTGTAAGATGTCGGTTTCTGGGACAAATGGGAGGGACATTAGACACTGAACGTCATTCCTAATAGTTCGGTTGTTTGGGTTATGGTAATCTGCTTTCAACCCGTTTCCAATCACCTGCCTCCAAATGGCTTGGGAGAAATGAAAGAGGCAAATCTTGTGGACCGATCCTGGGAATTCTGCTCTGGCTGCCTGAATGACTGCAGCCTCCATATCTGTCATTATGAATTGTGGTAATAGTTGGAGGGGAGGATTTAGTTGCAACGTGAGAGACTTTACTTCAGCAAAAATTCGTCTGTAGGTCTCTTCAGTCTTGCGCATGGTCAAACAGTATACCAGTGGGTACAGCTTGCCCATGACCTCGCCGTGAAGGGTGTACAACTGATAGAAAACATCCGGGACAGTCTTAAAAGTACCATCACTCACTAGGATACGACTGCGCGCCAGGTCCTTCAGCCCTGCGTTTGTCGTGAAGATCAATATTCGATCAGGATCGTCTTGCCCTGAATCAAATCGGAGGAACGGCTCGCCAGATAGAGTTTCATTATATGGGGGTAAAATCACGAGGCTTGCAAGAGACTGAGGGATGGGTGGACGTCCTGCATTCTGATAACGATTCACATTCCGGAGCATAGCTTGTCTCTCCGGTAACGCAGCTAAAACTTCCGAGTCGACGTTCACCAAATGATCTTGCAGGACCGCCACAGGGGGAACATTTGGCCGTTCTCTAGCATCTTCCCGAACGTTTGACATAATCCTTTGACGAGCACTTTCTGTGACGTCGGGCTCATGAGTATGCCGTCGCGCGTTTTTCAGTACTTCAATTCCGCCATGTAGATCCGCATTAGTAACAATTGTCGAATTGCATATATTTCTCTTTTCACACCGCCAATATATCTTCCTACTGTTTTTACTTACTCTCCTTTTCGTGTACAGGTAATGCTGGTGAACTAATTTCTGTTTCCGTTTGGCAGTGGGGATTAGAAACGTCTCCATTGTTTCCTCTTTACAGTAATTTCTTCAAATTTCGTTAATAAACTTTGACAATTTAATACCCCCCTTATTATAAAGAACCGTCTCCATTTCCATCTTGATGCTACTTTCTGCAAATTTTGTTCACAAACATAGATAATTTAATATTCCTCCCCTGATTACAAAAATAATTTGGTCAAAGAAATTTTCTTCCCTTATAACCTCTTCTAAGAGCAAGTTCTTTTCACGAGTGAAATGAAAAAAGCTCCAAATGTAGGTACATGTTTGATGGTTGCCATGGAAGCGTGTTAACCAAAGACGACCTATAGACGTTAATGTATTGTAGACTTTAGTAAAAGGAGACTTTCTGACGTAGACCTACTGACCTGAAACCCTTTTTACCACAATGGTAACAGTAAAGATCTTTGTGACATCTCACGAGGGGAGGTCACAGAGATTTGGATCAGAGTGTGGCCGAAAGTTTTTTTGCTCAAAATTATTAGTCCCCCATTTTCCTCTCTTCGCGAATGAGCCGTGAATGTCCAAAATAAATTTTGTAAAAAATGTGGGAAAAAGAGCTGCCTGCTGAAATAGTTAAGTGACGCATGTGTAACACCAGCATAGCCATAATTTAATAGTTAGGAGCAAGGTATTGTAACTGACAGGTTACGGTTTCGATCCACAGCGTCTCACTACATTTTTTATTCCTATCATGGTTATTTTACTTCGCTGGTTGCTTCCTCTGTCTAACTGCTCACATAATTATCTTTTTCAGTATTTTTATACATTAGAAACCATGATTATTTATTAAATTTTATTATTTCACGAGTATACAATTTTTACAAATAAAAATCATATGAAGTAGTATATGCTCAATTACAGCCGATGAAGAGACAAACGGTAAAAGAAAACACTGTGAGCAAATTGAAGAAAGTATGAAGAAATCAAAGCAGAACACTTGGATCGCATTTAGTAAAAAGGAACTAGCATGATTACTGTGTTTTCAAAATCGTACAACTACTTTTTACCCTTTAAAAGATCTAAATTTATGCACAGTATTAAAATTTACACAATTATTTCCCACTGATTTTAACATTTTTTTGGTGGGATGCAAAAACTATTTGCTATTTTGGGAAATATTTTAGATAATTATGAAGAAGCAATATTTTAACAACACTGCAAGTGCGCTGGTTCCTTTTTGCTAATTGCAATCTAATTGGGGAAGGATTAAAAGTAATGGTGGGACACCATTACTACCATCATCAATCCTGGAGCCTGCTGGCTAGCACGCAATAACTTCAACTGCTGAACCATTTCAAGGCTAAAGACTCCCAAGAGTCACTATGCCACTTCAGTAAACAACCCTTTTTCCCAGACTTTTGACAATATTTGCAGGAACTTCTGAGGCCCATTTCCGAAAACGGCAAAATAGGAGTCTAATAATTTTGTATAAAGCAAATTTTGGCTATACTTTGATGAAAATCTAGATGGAACACAATCTGATCTCCCCCTGTTAGTTGTGTCAAATGAGAACTTGCACCATTGCTGAACTAAAGGCTTTCTTAGGGGTGCGGCTAATTTTGATCATGTTGGAAAATCGACTCTCCTAGGGTGGATATCGAGGTTAATACATAAAAATGAAAAATTAATCAAAATGTGAGCCGATCTCGAGCACTTTCAGGTAGGGCTCAAATCAATCAAAATTTTAGAAAAAATTACTTCGGTTTAATTATAGAAAAATCGCATCAATCAGTAAGTAATGTGCTGGTTAGCCATAAACGACTATCCCAATGGAAAAAAAACTTCACCACCTCTTAAGAAGTCATTATGGACCTGTAAACCAGAAAATTAAACATTTCATCAATAGGTGAGATTGGCAGGATTCTAGTGCTGCCTGTTTTCAGCGCTGTGGATGATAGCATTTTTATGGATGGAACTGAAGGCCACCTTTGAAGGGTCGATTTTCCAACATTACGAAAACAAGTTGCATCACATGCTCCCTTCACCATTCTTTAATGTTTTCATATATCCATGAAGGAAAAAGAAACCGCTATGAATCCTCGGTTTTTTTTAATCCCTTGAAACGTCCTTTTGTTCATTGGAAACCTGTAAAGAAAGGATTTTTAAATAATAATCGTTTACAAGTAATTAAAGCAGCAGTTTTATTTCCGCATCAGTCAAAGTACTTTGGCTATTGGAAGTACTCTGAGTGCTTAAAAACAAAGGAAGGTTTTATAAGCTAAGCCTACACAAGGCAATATTTTTCCTAGTTTGTAAAGGTTGATTACAAAACCACATTCATTTGTCTTTTTTGTGAAATCAAGGAGAAGGTACAAGGTACAGAATTTTTCTAAAGGATGTAAGTAGGTAGTGATTTTTTTTTACAAAACTTGATTCCAATCACTGTGGGGCGGGTAGTCTAAACGGAGGCTAACTATTGTGTTCAGATGAAGTTTCTTTAAACAAAGTATCATATTTTATATTTGCACATTAGCAGTATTCATTCGCCGTTTTGCAGGTACACTTTGTCAAACGCTCAAATCCTTGAGAACCATCTAAAATTTAGGCTTAGCAGATCCATGAAGGTAGTGCATCATTTGAAAAAAAATTCCTCAAAATTTTTCTTTCTAGAGCAAGGTTTATTCGCTTCCTTTCTAATTCTCTGAGTTTTCCATGAATTTTCCTTGAGTTGAGAAGTAAATCTAACGATGAAATTTCCACTTCACCAGGCAGAAGACATTTCGGACATTTGTTCCCTCGTGCTAATTCCAGATTCCCTTAAATTCCTAAGTTTTCTGGGTGTGTATAAAACCTGCTCTAGAGATTCTGGATGGTATATTGTCTGTTAAAAGTAAGGATCTGTTTTTACGTTGGTCAAAGCAGACTAGTTCATTTTTCGCTCCAGTTAGTATTTGTATATCTCCATTGTTCATCATCTTACCTAGCTTCAGTTTCTGGGCAGTAAATATTAGGAAAAAATTTATTGATCCCATTTTTTTGGATGATTGATCAGCCTCATCAAAGCAATAGCATGGAGTCTCTCGTTCTTTGTATAATGTCTTATGTTACTGTGAATTTTCCCTTTTTAATCAGAGTTTTTGTCTCTCTCTCTCTCCCTCCCTCTGTAGCTTTTTTGATAAAGTAATCTTGTTTCTTTTGTGGGTATTCCACTCTCACCAAAATACCTATTGTACTACTCTCTACATTTCTTTGAAAAAGATAATAACATAACTTTTACAAAATTGCAATCCCTGGCACAAAAGAGACCTTCTATCATCCTTGTAAAACTAATTTTCAAGCACCTGCCACACGCAAGATGTGCTGAGAGAAAGTTGCGCATGTCAGTGCTAATTTTTAAAAATATCTCTAGTTATCTCTTGTTTGATTTTAGGAAAACCAACACTGAACGATTTTTTGTGATAATTCCTAATTCTAGTGAATTTAATTCAGGTATTCTTTTATCACAAAAATGTCAGATATTAAAAAAGAAAAAGGGAAAAGAACCAAAAAATTAAAAATAGGAATTGATTTTCTGTGAAAAAATATAAGGTCTTGGCACATCCAGAAATATTTGAATCATATTGAGCGATGTTTAAATTAAGTTATCATGTGAACTTCTATGAAATAAATGTGGCTTGTTCTAAGATTGAAGAAGGTAAATCAGATACCTAAGCAGAAAATCAGATCATGTAGACTGCTTTCGTGAAAAAAGGCAGTGAATTTAAGTTATAATCGTGAAGATGAGAGAAATTCAACTTCACAGGAATCATGAAAGTAACACAAATGAAACTCAAAAAAAATCTCAATTTCTATGCATCTTGAAGATTTCTTGTGTAGTACTCTTAATCTTCAGAAGCTCTCCCTTTCTTGAGCTGTCTTTTATTTCATCTTTGAATGACCTCAGCAAAACTTATGATCTGCAAGTTGCACCCTGATGTTGAGCAGAATCTCAGTGTGGAACAACTGAGCAAGTAAAACTTTCTGCTCGAAAAGACATGGTGAGCAGTTGGTGACAACAGTCCTCACCGAGTCATAGATTGACTGTAAGCGGACTTGATGACTTGATTGACTTGGTCCATACAGCAATTCTCTTCAGAGGACTTCGTCCATAAATTAAAGGTGACGTCATCGACTGCCTAAACGTTCAAGATAATGCCCAGTTGTCCCCAGTGTGTTGCCCTTATGGCTATTTAAGTCTGGGCATGGCATGGAAATTAAAAACGCTTTGAAAACATTATAGTAAATGTCAATTTAGGGTTAGACTCAAATGCCAAAATTATTTAATTTAATGTTGTTGAATATTTATCGTTTATTTTTTAATTGATAAATGATTAAAGCAGTCATTAAAACAGATGAGTTGTTACAGTTGAACATAACCATTCACCAGCACTACTCTGCCTCTCCAACATCAAAATTATTTCTAAGTTCTACTACCATGAATGTCATAATATTCAATTTACAAAATTTTCAGAATTGAAAGGGCAGATACACCTGCAAGCAAGACGCGCTTCTTGAGTGGCGAGAAGGCCTCTGACTGTGTTCGGCAATCCTTGTAGCCAATCAGGTTGCAACTCGCTGCCTGTAACTCCTGTAGCGAATCAGGTTGCAACTCGCTGTCTGTAACTCCCTCGAAGTAGGATCGGATCCTACTTTTCGAGTCAAGACGCGCTGAGGTGTATCTGGCCCTTTAAATCTAGCATACCTATGTGTGAAAATTGAGGACTACCTCGAATACTTGCTGCAAATTCTCTCGAGGTTTGAATGGAATCTAGTTTATTTCTCATCATTGGTCTGTATGAGGAACGTTAGAAACTTATTGTTCATATCCTTGCCATGATAACATTTTGATTTAGCTAGTCACAATTCTTGAATAAAATCAAGAACTAAAGGATGGGATATTATTCAGACTTGTTTCCATAAAATGTGCAATAAACTAGATGAATTCCAACTTGGATGTGGGTGGGATCTCACTCAGGTCCTCCTTGGCAACATTAGATAAAAATAGATCAAATTTTGGTTAAGTGCATCCAAAATATCTTGGTTTTTCGTTTTTAAACTATGAATTTAAATCAACTGAAATTTAAGCTTGCTGTACATCTACTTGCATTGATTGTTTTATACTTCCTGTACATATGTAAAAATAAAATTCATATCTTATTTAACTTCTTATTTTTCCACTCTAAAAACTTTATATTCTAATAATCTAATCTGTGAAGTTCTAATAAAGTGTGTAAACGTCTTCAAAGAAAATCTCTTGTCTCCTCATGTAAATTTTTCCTTTTTTATTTTCCATCATGTATGCATATACTTTCACTCATACATAATTTTCTCTAATATGATTTTCTATCTCGGAACTTCATTTTCTCTAGTTCAGTAATGATTCTACAAGGTTTTATTAAAACTTACATATGGGTGTTTCATTTCTCCTTTCTTTCTGGTAGCAGATTTGCATTTCAACTTTTTCCCTCAAATTTCCATGCTTCCATACTATTATTCGCACATAATCCCTCTCTAACAATGATTATCATTCTCTGAACTTCATTTTCTCCAGTTAAGTAATAATTCTGCAAGATTTTATCAAAGCTTTGATATGGATGTTGTATTTACCTCCTCTCTGATAGCAGATTCGCATTTCAACTTTATTCCCCTCGAACATAACCTCTTCAAAACCATATCTACTTGGCTGTTGAATTTTTAATGCCTCATAATTGTTTAAAGACGTTTAATGATTGCCAAAGACTCTCACAGAGGGCCGATAAAATAGTGCCTGAGCTGTAAAAGCCCCGATGGGCAAAACCTAGATAGATGTCAAAATGTAGAAAAAGTTTTTTCCTCCTCTCTTTTCCTCTTTTAATCAAATTGTTATTTTATTTATGAAAATGAGGCCTACTTGTACTCCCAGACTCAGCTTTGCTTTTTCTTTCATCAAGCATTACATTTGCTCCTTTCCTGAAATTTCTGCCTCAAATTTTTCTAAAAGTAATGTATTCATTCTTGCTGCTCGACTTGTACTTCAGCAATTGAATTGATCATACAACTGATTTTTTTAATCTATATTTTAACGGCATATTTCATCAACATATAAATCCATTGTTCCAGTAATGCTTGCCATACCCTTTTCCCATTATCATCCATGTCTGCATCGTGGATCTATGATGTAAGTCTAAAAAAATCTAAAAGTTAATTTGTGTCTTTTTTTTCTTTTCTTTATTTTCATTTTTGTATCCAGACTGTTATGTAATGAAACTTGAAAGCGTTTGACCCAAAAATTTGTTTTCCTCCCCTCATGCTCCTTTTTTTTTTTGCTCAATCTTGGTCTCATGAGAGCGAAACTTTACAGTTTTCTTGCGCCATTGATGAATTGTCTTTCTCATTCTTTTTCATTGTAATATTTCTTTAATAAGGAGAAGACCCAATTACGCTGCCTTCAATTTTTTTATTTTGGTATAAATCGATACCATGAAAATCTAAGAACCACTTTTTATGAACCACCATTTTCTTGTATTGACAAATGGGCCCTCGACCGTCCTAAAAATCAATGGGAAACAAGCCCGAGAGAGTTCAAGTGCGACTCAGAAAGGTGATGATGTGTGCTGTAGCACTGGTGTTGGTTATTGATTGCCATTAACAGTTCATTCTCCCTTGATTCAGAATAGTAAAGTGGTCAGCAGCAATATCACTATTTCAGCTTGCCAGTGAATGAAATTTTGATTTCACATTGTCGATCATAGTTCATAATTCCTTTTTCCCACTCTGGACATTATATCGACTAAAACTTTTTTCCTTACTGGTTCCTTTTCTGTCTTACTGTTGTTTTTTATTTCTTAACTATTTGTACTCCTCCCTCCCCCTTTCCCACCATCCAGCACATTTGCTGATGTGATTGACGAATTTAAGTGCTTACTCTGCCTTTCATTAGTGATAGTGAAACACATTACAAGACCCACATTACAAGAAGATAATCTTGATGTGACAAGATATGAAAATGCATGTCTCTTGGAGTGTAAATGCAAAATTTAAATTTTTCAGTCATAGATATGATTCAAATTTTTTTCATTGTCTCAGAAATCTGATTTTTCGCTTTGTTTTTCTGAACCTATCTTTACTATAGATCAAGACCAGGTATAAGGATGCATATGCAAGTGTGGTAAGAGGTGGGAAAAAGAGGAGCAGGAGTGCATAATCAAGAAACAGAAGCAACAAAGAAATATGTACAAACAAGAAAATATAAGGAAAAAGTTGTTAGTTGTGGTGAAGCCAAGAGAGAGGGAGGAATTAGGAAGAATAGCCTAAAATTTATTATGAGCTGAGCAAATTCAAATCTTCGCCCAATTGCCAACTTTGACAATGTTGTGGCCGCTAATCACTTAGTCACTCTGAGTGATGCGAGAGTGAGCTGTAATTAACTCAATAGTTGCGGCTGGTTGTTATCACTTCAATTTGTGCTTCGGCCTTTTTACGCAAGTTTCCTTTGATTTTTTATGGCATGTTGAGGGCCCATTTGTTGAAATTTTATTACTCTTGGTTGCTTGATTTTCATGAGCAATTAGCTGGTATCAAAATAATCCGAATCGGAGGTGGTGTGACATGATCCTCCTCTTTTAAGTGAACAGGTATTACACTCACATAAGGTCATAAGTCTAAATATCTACTGAAGTATTTTAGGGTTATTTGAGAAACTTGTTTTGTTGCCTTTCTGTACTGTAATGATCACTTCAATTCATGATTTAATAGGTTGAAGAGAAAAACCAATTGTAAATATATTCATGACAAATGTTTGTATGACTATGTATGCCTGTAAACAGGTTTTGTTCAATCAAAATTTTCTTCTAGCGGCTGTCAATCTGTCTTTTTTCTCTTCTTTTTTTCTTTTATACTTCTCATGCACTAAATTTTTAAGCTTTTACAGTGGAAGGAAAGAGGAATTGATATCCTCTTGCTTTTCCTTCACTGTCACTGCGGGAGGTTTGTGAAAGCACTAAAGACCCTTGAATACCTGAGACTATTTTTTAAAGGAAGAAAGTTACTTGGTACCTTAGTGTTAGTAACGCAAAGCAATAAAATATTCCATTCATCAGGAATTGAATTGTGTTTTTTTTTGCTGATGAATGCAAATTATGATGAGAACCTTTAATGAGCTTTTAACAAGCTTTGACAGGAGCTCCAAGGACGCTCGGATTAATGAGGTTGTGTGAGAATTTGTTCAAATTTGCTTTTAAACAGGCCTTTATTTAAACATTCTCTGTTTCACATACCGTATCAACCCTCTACTGGCAATTATCACAATTGAAAGAACTTAAACTTACGAGAGTTTGAACTCAATTTTTAAACCGAAGAAACCCCATGTATATGTATCAGGGAAAATCACTGTTTTCCTTCAGTTGAAGGAACATTTGTATCAGTGTGGATGAAATAATTTTATTGCCCCTCAATTGTTTCAACATTCCAATTTCTTACTATTGTCTCGTTAGGCTTTCATCAAAATTAATTACAACCCCTTATGACCTTCTCAAGTTACACTTAAAGGTGAAATCATAAATACAAAACTCTGAAATAATACATTTTCACGATCAGAATCCAGACCTAACTGCACCAAGAGTTACCAAGACTAAAAAACGAGAATATTTGTTTTCAGAAGTGTAGACTTTTATGATAAAGAAAGCACACTGAGCCTGTTTTACAAAATTGTACACTTCTAGCTGCTTATGCAGATAGCAGTCATGGTTTCTATGCAAGCAGATGAGAAAGGTAAACTTATCTTGATTAGGGTCTGCCTATCTTTACCTCATTGGAAAGGTTCCTGAATGTTATAACTCTAATTCTTGTCTGAAATGATCAGATATGCCAATGGAATGTTTTTCAGGTCAAGTAGTTAAAAAAGCTCAAGACTTATGTGTCGACAAACAATAGGTAATTTTCATCTCGATTTTTACTTCAAAATTCCTACAAGAAAAATGTCAAAAACTTTAAGTGGGAAACTCGATCACTGTTCTATTCCTCCGATTGTAAGATTCATCCTTTACAAAATACCTAAAATTGGACTACATCTTGCAATGAAGACCCCCTATCTCTAGCCCACCTTGAAAACAACACTTGTACCACTCAGCATATATGTTTCCCTATGCAAATACATGATTTTGTCGTTGAGCCAGGAATATTCCCTAGTAGCACATCTTATAATATAATTCGTGAGAAAAAATTAAAATTGGTAAGTTTTACAAGTATGAAAGATGTACGTAAAAGAACTCGTAAAAAATCCGAGTTGGAGAAGTTAATGTTAAAAATTTTTGATTAAAGATGTAAAAAAAGTTAGGGGATTGAACTGAAATCTTTACGTGAAAAATACGCGATTTTTTACGGAAAGAACTTCAGGAAAACAAATTCAGAACCAAAATTACAAACGTAAAAAATCGTAGTTTTTGTACATAAAAAAGAGGTCAGAAAGAAATTAAAGGAAGACAGATTTTTTTCGTTGTGAAAGTACGATTTTTTATGTATGAAACTGTCGTCACTGAATTTTTTTCTGACTTTTCATGTAAAAAATCACTATTTTTCGTTTCTAGCTCTTCGAGCATCTATTTTTTATGTAAAATTTTTGGTTATGGAAACCAAAAAATTGGTAGAGAATGTCTGTACTGAAAATTCGCTGAATTGACCAAACAGGAAATACCTTTGTAGTTTTAATCACAAGGAAATTACGCAAATAATTCTAATTTCCCCTAAAGATTTTTGGTCAAAAAAAGTATAGCCCAAAAACTGGATACAAAAAATGTATTGTTTTGAACGAAGAAACCAGAGTTTTTAAAAGTTTGAGAAGATTTTAAAAACTTATCTTTATTATAATGGTTCAAAACATTTTTATAAAAAATTGATGCATGTTTTAATAAAATTTAAGAAAAGAGAAAGAAAAAAAGGGGGACAAATTATTAAAATGTACATAATTTTTTTTACATATTCATGAACAAGAAAGGTACTTTTGAAAGTAGGCATGCCATCTTTAAAATATCCATGGTAAATATTATTTTTTGCCCTTATCCAGTTTTCTTAAGTTCAAAAAATATTCAGAAATTTGCTCTCACGCACATTCATCAATAAAAATACTCACTTACACAGCGCAAATTCGTCCTTCTCATACACAAGCCTCGTTGGCTCGGTAGGTACTGCATTCGATTCCTGATAGGCAGGTCCCAGGTTCAATTCTTGACAGGTAGATAATAATTTGAAAGTTGATCTCAAGAAGAATTAATTGCCGACAGATATGTAAAAAGTCTATTTTTTTCTTAACGATTTATCATTTTAATCAATTAAAGTAGGCATGAGTTTTATGGCGCACAACTTTTTATGAAGAGTAACTCGATCTTTTTACATAGAAAACCTCTTTACGAATTATTCTTGTAAAAAAGACTACATTGGCATTTCACTTCTGGTCTGTTTTACATCTTTTTTTACGAATTTTTTTGTTGTAAATTTGACATTTTTGTGCTACTAGGGTTGGTTCCTTTTTGCAAAATTCAGTCCGATGTTCTGTTATAAATAGTAGTTTTTTATTGCAAAGAGGAATCCAACTGATTTTTCTCGAGCTTCTTATCTTCTGTGAAAATAAAAGTCTCGCGAACATTTACTACCTCTTTTAATGTATATTTTGATAGTCAAAGTGCGAAATTATGTATCTCCGTTTGCAACGTTGTAGACTTCCTGTCATACGTTATTTTTTTATTTGAGAACTAGTCAAATTAATTTCTTGGAAACTTGTCTGATTTTTCTTCTTTATTAGAAGAATGTTCTATAGAAATTTCAAGTTTCATAGTTAACTTGTTTCTCTTTAAAAAAATAAAACAGGAGCAGAGCTTTTGAAACACCGCTATGGAGATTCGTGGTTTTGCACTGTAGCCATCAATTTGCATCTGGCTCGTTAGTAAAGCCATCAAATATTATCAGCATTTTCACTTTGCTCATATGTTCAAAGATGAGTGTATAATATGTGTTGCAAAATATAATTTGGACGTAGGTATTTAAATCAAAAAGAACTTCTCATTTATGTACATTGTGACTCAGGCCCTGGGACCTTTTGAGGGTGTGAAGTAGCCCATGGATATATCGACGGTGCAATCACATAACTCGTTTGCGGTGTCTGAAAATCTCCGCAACTATGTTATTTTTTTAAAGGAGAACAAATGGACATGATTCCTTGAAGTTTTTGCAGAATTTTCCTCGCACATAGAAGAAAAATCACGGCAGTTTTAAATAATTACCGATGAGTAGTTTTCCGTTTAAAAAATAAAGTATGACAGGAAGTCTGCGACGTCGCAAACCGAGTTATGCGATTGCCGACTTTCACCGTCGATATATTAATTCATAATGGAAATATTTCCTTTTGATTTAAGTACGTCCGTTTAATCATTGGATGTTAGGTACAGTTTTACAGGAAATGGTGAAATTTTACCATGTCCTAACCTTCAATGCTGACAGAGATAACCCTCTTTGATAATGCACCACCTTGGAAGATCTGTTGCCATCTTCAACCTTATGTTATTGGTCAGTGATGCACACTTTTGCACTGTCATCAAAACAGAGGTGAAAAGGACAACAATGGACACCCGCGAAATAAAGGATGTCTCTTGTATGAACAGACCTTGAAACTTGGCATGTGAATAGATCTCATTAATATTGGCGACCACAAGGTTTAACTCTCAGACCTATGTAGTCTGACATATAGAGGGATAAGAAACTACCGCTTGACTGACAATTTTGACGAAAATTAGTCCGTAGCTTTGCGGCATTCTTCAGTATTTACGCAAACTGATGTTCATAGTTTTTTCACATTCTGCATGGAAGCGCTGTCTTTATGCTGTAATGTACAAAAAGAAAGTGCAAAGCTATTATCAGAATCACAAAAATGGCCATTTGAGAAAATATGGCAAATATCTAGTCTATTTACGAGTTTGGTCCCTTTTGAAAGAGCTTTATGCAAAAACGGCTTTTTTTCGCCCCCCTCCCCCCCTCTGGAATTTCTTCAGACTTTGTCTGTTGATTACTCATACTTGAGCGCTTCTTTTCCCAAATTTTCAGACCCCCCCCAAAATTTTTTTTTTTGGGGGGGGGGGCTAGGAGGGGTGGAAGTCAAAACCTGTGAACCTCCATATCTCTCGAATGATGAAAGCTATCGAGGTCCGCTTTGTACGAAAAATCGTCTAAAATTGCATACATCAAGATTCTAAAGGTCGAAATCCCGATGTATCACACTTTTAAGTTAACATATGTGCTTTTTTCCAGTTTTTAGGTCTAGAAAATTTCTTTTAAACAAAAAATTTACGAAGATCTCAATTTTTTATTTGAACCAAAACCAGTTTTTAAAATTGTTCGTCTTTTTTCGCATTCAACGAGTGGTCCATCAAGCTGGGGAACCAAACGGTTCCGGAGTTATGAGCGATTGAAGTTTCCGCTCTACGCGCGCCGACCGATTTTCGCGCGTAAAAAAGTCGGATTTGACTGTTTTAAATCAGATTGAGTGTTCAATCCGAGCAAAATGCATTTTTAGGGACTGTTGAGGGTCGCTGAGTTCAACAATTACAGATACAACCAAAAAATTCACTTTTTTAAAATTACAGCTCCATACAGGCCGACTGAGCGGCCGGTCGGCGCTCAGTGGGCCTCTAAAGTAGCGCTACGGAGCTGTAATTTTAAAAAAGTGAATTTTTTGGTTGTATCTGTAATTGTTGAACTCAGCGACCCTTAAGAGTCCCTAAAAATGCATTTTGCTCGGATTGAACATTCGATCTGATTTAATAACAGTCAAATCCGACTTTTTTACGCGCGAAAATCGGTCGGCGCGCGTTGAGCGGAAACTTCAATCGCTCATAACTCCGGAACCGTTTGGTTCCCCAGCTTGATGGACCACTCGTTGAATGCGAAAAAAGACGAACAATTTTAAAAACTGGTTTTGGTTCAAATAAAAAATTGAGATCTTCGTAAATTTTTTGTTTAAAAGAAATTTTCTAGACCTAAAAACTGGAAAAAAGCACATATGTTAACTTAAAAGTGTGATACATCGGGATTTCGACCTTTAGAATCTTGATGTATG